ATCGACCTATCTGTCTGTCTGTCTGTCTCTCTGTCTGTCTGTCTGACTGTCTGCCTGTCCGTCTGTCTGTCTGACTATCTGTCTGTCTGTCTCTGTCTGTCTGTCTCTGTCTGTCTGTCTGTCTGACTGTCTGTCTGTCTGTCTTGTCTGTCTGTCGCTGTCTGTCTGTCTCTGTCTGTCTCTCTCTGTCTGTCTGCCTGTCTGTCTGTCCGTCCGTCTGTCTATTTTTGTCTCGCTGTCTCTCTCTCTCTCTCTCAGTGCCTCTCTCGGTCTGTATGTCGGTCGGTCGATCTATCCATCTCATCTCATACGCGATGGACAGCCTGAGAGTCGGAAGGTCAGCTTGCAACCACTCGTGCCGTGTGAGATAAACTGTTCACATGGAAATCTACCCATGGCGAAAGGCAGCTTGACGCGCAACTCCCTAGGGAACGAAGCACAACAAACCACAAGTTGTCTTCACGTGTCAGCCAAGGCCTCCAATAAAAAAAAAACGGCCCCTCTTGTGGGTTGACTTTGACCGGGTTCCTCCAAGGATGCAACCAAATTCCACCTTTGTTACAACAAAACATCCCCTACTAAATCAATTGATTCTTTGGATGGCCTGAATCTATCCATTGGGACCTGCTCTCCTCACTTCGTACAAGAACCAGGGTTCAAATCCACAAGCCACAAATGCAAACCACCAATTAAGGGACTGGCAGTTTGGGCATCCCCAAAAAGCCAAGAGGATACATAACAAGCAGATTCCTTCAGGGTTTCTAGGTTTTTAAGGGTTTCTGAAATACATCCAACAAACTCTCGATTTACATCTGCTATGCAAATCCAGGCGGCTACCAAGGCAGGCACCAAGCCCTTTGAGCAAAGCACCTGGCTTGAAGGTGGTTTCAATTTGGCAGAGGCTCTAAGGTGGATTGGCAAAACAAATCTGAGTTGCTGGTGAAACAGCTCACCAACAATGTGAAGGAACTTCTGAAGTGAGAGCAGTGAGAAGAGGGTGCCAACTGAAGTACCAAAGGAGATAGCCACATACCTCAAAGGATGGGTGACATCCCCCATGCTCGCTTGCGAGTAGTGGTTGGAGGCCCCCAAACGCCATGTCATCGCAACCTGAGCTGTTGCAAGTTCGGGTTGTTATTGAGCCGTGATCTCGATTCCTACCACTCGACTGCAAAACATTGCAGTCCAAAACCATAGGTTGTGGCCAAGTTGTGGCGCAGTGTTGGCCCTTCATAGCGCACTCTTGTTTTGCATCAGCCCTGCCACAAACGAAGCCTGTTGTCCAGCGGCAAGCCTGATGCCAAGCGCATCAAGCCCTCTTTCCACACACTTTTGGTGGGTGCACATTTACAATCATCTCAGTGGGACGTAGGGTGCCCCCTCGAAACATCTGCTCTTTTAGGTGTTTCTTGTCATTCTTGCCAAGCAAATAATCACATTACTTCTTCTTTTTCAGAATCACATTGCCAATTGCCAATTGCTATCAAGCACAGGTCAACCAGCTGCCGGCCTGGCAGAGCCTAGCATTGCTCCGTACATTCCGAGGACTTGGCTTTTGTCAGGGAATGGATTCCCTGGATGAAACGTTGAATTGCGACCAAGGACAGCCCCACAGCGTTGAATGGCAGCGTGAAGCAAGTTGGCGCAAAGCCGTGTGTCATTGCAACCACCGCATCCATTCCAGCAAAGACAGCAGTGGCAGCTGCAGCCCCGAAACAAACCAAGAAAAACACTGCAACATATCCAAGGGATCTGAAGTGGAATGAGATCCACAAAGCTGTCAAAGCAGCATTGTAACCCCAAATGCCTTGCTGAAACCGTGAGATATCTGCTCCGCATCTAGCAGCTCCTAAGGTAGCCACCGTTGAGCCCAAAAGTGTGCTGAATGTCATAAAGGGACCAGCAAAGCCAATTCCGAAAAGGATGAGACATCCTGAGATTGGGCTGGTAACAAAAAATATTTGCGACACTCCATTCAAAATGGCTGTCACGCAGTCCATGGTACTGAGTTGTGGCAAAATGTTGTTCCAGGTAATGGCTGCTGGTGTTGCTGTGCCATGATCGATGAGATGAATGACCGCCAGCGTGGACAGCGCCGAGAAGTTAAAGGCCAAGGTGAGTTGCGGGCTCACAATCTTCAGGAGACCGGCAGCCACAAAGGTACTCAGACTGGCCAACGCCAGTGTAGCAAGGACGCTCCACCAGTAAGGTACGGCAAAGGCAAAGGCGCAGCCCACCAGCATAGCATTGTAACCCAAGGTGCCATCCTTCCTGGCAGCTGAGTCAAGGCTGAAGCACCAGCTCGTTGCTGTTGCCACCAGGACACCCAGCAAGCCTAGGATGACTGCTTGTCGCGGTGTCCCGAAGAGGACAGCGACTAAAAACACAACTCCTGCCACGGAGTTCGTAAAGAAACACACTTGAGACACACCGTGCAAGGCGTCGATCACAAAGTCTGCAACCGAAATGCATGATGCATCAGCTTCACTCGAGTCGTTTG